TCTGCCCATAACAGCTTTTGGCTAAGACACAAGCTTAATGAGCATGGTAAAAAAAAGTACAACGCTCTGGGGAAGCACCTGTGGCCCCCACACACACACACACACACACACACACACACACACACACACACACACACACACACACACACACACACACACACACACACACACACACACACTAGCAGAACAAGTATTGTGGGTGCAACATGGAGAGGGATGGCGGTCATTAATTTAATGGAAATAATAATTTACATATTTTTTCTTCATTAGATGAATATTTCAATTACTTCTTTATCACACACTTGGGCCATATGCTAAACACAAAGTTTGATAGGTGGGGAATAGACGGCATGATATATAGATAAGTAGAGTGAGAGAGGAGAGAGAGAGAACGACATAAAGACAGAGTAATCCAGTTAATGATGAACTAGAGGAGTGTTAATCAGAGGGTGCGCTGGTGTGTTGATTGGATCAGCCTGCTGCTGCAAGAGGTAATCCCAGCTGCTGCGTGAGGAGGGGTGATGGGAGGGGGGGGGAGTCTCTGCTGAGGGACCACATTTTTGGCTTTGTTTCCAAAGACAGATTTGCTAAATTGAAGTAGTAGGCGAGGTTTAGCTGGGTGTGACTTCTTACAGCCTTTGAAGACGAATGCATACAGAAACCAAAAGTGAATGCGTTCAACTGGCAACACTGAGCATAAATCCTGCCTTTGTGTTGGAACTTTCCCTTGAGCTCCTGTGCGGTGAGCAGTGGCTCGGCAGGTTTGGCATGCTTGATGTTTCTGTGTGTGTTTACGAGTGCAGAGGCTTCCCAGCCAAGCGCTGTGTCAGTCCAGTCAGCCTGTTAGTTACAGCCCAAACTCTGAGTCATGGTTTTTTCAGCCAATCAATATGTACGATCATCACCGGAACCCTGACCTCATGATTGGTCTGGTAGGACATTTATGCAGCATTTGTTGTGTCAGTATCTGGTTTCAACCATGACAACAGACTAGAAGAGCACAGCTGATTTATTCTCTGCTCTCTGGCTGAGCTGGAACTTAAGGGCCACAAATTATTTAGATCTGAAATACTACATTTCTCTCAGTGAGGTGCAACTCTAACTGTAATCCCCTCCACACTTCAGAATATAATCATAAAGAATTCCCACTAGAATGCTGTCCCACATTGCTATTGGCATCTTATATTTTTCAATCCGTGCCACACTAGCCCTTGGCAGTGTCCTGTTTTCCGTGCCATGCAAACTCAGCCAGCTCTGGTCAACCAAACCCAAAGCCCTGGCACTCAGCAGGGTACCGTTCACGTGAGAGATTAACTCTACACTCCTCTCCTCACACTCTGCTGGATGCCTACTCTGCAGGCCGCCCGTATAGATCCCCTCCTACGGATAAGCCTGCTGCAGACAAGGGACATGTTTAACATGTCATGCCTCATAGACCCCAAACACCAGCCAGACTGTTAACCAGCAAGAGGCAAAGGTTAACAGACATATTTACATACACTCTGAGTGATATGGCTGGAGAAGTAGGGCACTTGCAGTCTATGAATCAGCACAGATAAAAACGAGCACTGCATTGCGGAAACAAATCTGGTATAAGTTTGGTAAAATGTTTTTCTTATAAAATACCCAACTCAATCCCATTTTAAACCCCTTCTGCATGATGACACTAATACCTGGTTGCCCCACTGGTGTGCTGCATTTCTGCTTGAGCAGAGACACATCTGAGAGGAAGGCTCTGCGAAAGTAAACACTTTGACCTGCTACTCACTTCTGTTCATGAATAAATGAATACATACAAAATTAAATCGCTTCCTTTGTGACTGTGTGTTTGCACATGCGGTCGGCATTCTTCAATTATACATAGTCAAATGTGTGTTTTGGTGTGTATGTTCTTTAGATTTATGCATGCGTCTGTTTGTTTGCGAACATCTTCAGCGATTCCTCTACTTGTGTCCTTGTCCTATGTTTTCTTTCCATTGTGTAGTTTGTATACTTTGACTACCCATGCATTTAAATGATCCCATGGTGGATTCCCAGAATGTGCTTCATATTATAAATCCCATGCAGAGATATAATGAGGCTGATTTATTGTTATCTCCTTTTAGCGCGATGTGCAAGTTGTTCAGGAGAGTAGGAAGTAGCTTTGATTTCTTATCTCTCAACCACTCTCCACTGGCCTCCCCTATGTTTCTGGCCTGCTAGATACAATAAGACAGTGAGAGCTGCCTCCACCCAGAACAGGGATTAATATTTAATCCAAACAAAAGTCTAATTAGTGAAGCCTGCCTTACACTTAAAAACTGCCACGAGGCCCAAGAGGTCATGGCAATGGTGCACTGCCTTTGACTCGAGGTGGACCCAGCATAAATAAATTAATCTTATTGTTCAGATTCAGCGAGTTCCTCTGCTAATCCTGTTAGAATTCTTCCATGCCGAAGACGTCTAGAGCACTGGGAGTGCGCACAGCTCTTGGTGATCAAACACCTCCTAGATGAGGGCTGAAAGAACGGAAGCTAAGCTAATCATAGTGTTTAAGTCATCTCAGCACCGGCACAGAAAATGAACATAGATTAATCATTAATGCTCCACTGCACTGTACTGTGATCATCAGGGGAAGCCATGCGGGCTGCGGGAGGGAAACAGGAAAGTCTTATTGTGTGTGCATATGTGAGTGTTAGGAGTAAAATTACCACAATGTAGGTGCTCTCCTGTATATGACAGTGCTGCTATTTTTATATTGGCCAGTGCTGACTGGGTAAAACGGCAGTAACCATATTAAGCATTTCATCTCAGAGAAACACCTACTCTCCCTCTGCATTGTTATTACCATCTACACCCTGCGTATGTCCAACATAATGTGTACACAAGCCTACGCTCACTTATGTGTGAGTAAGACAGATTGCAGCCACTCTCACATTTCCCACGCAATATCAACTCACTGTAGTAATCACATTAAAGTGAAATAAAGGACGGGAGGGAGAAAGAGGAGTGGAGAAAGGGAGCGAGAGAAACAGAGGCAGGCGGAGATGGTGGTAACTCGGAGGGAGCTTGGGGCTGCTCCTGTCAAAAGTATGGATAAAGACAAATGGTGTGCTACTGCTCTCTAGCCAGGCAGAAAAACACCACGTCCACGTTTGTCTGCTCCTGGTTTCTCTCCCTGTCATGTCATAATCAGCAAAAATCCTCACTGTCACAAGCACAGAAACACACTCTGACATCCTCTTTCTCTCTGACTGTCAATATTCCTCACTCACTGGGCAAAGATAGCAATCTGAAGATTTATCTACAAACATCCCCTGATTAAAACGACCAACATACTATGGAAGCTGTAGGTATCGCCAGATGGAAGACACGCACAGGAAGTGACCTTACACCCTCCTGTCTTCTATCATCTCCCATCTCGTCATATACTTCATTTCCACCCTTATTGCATCCTGCTCCTAGTCTGTCATGTATATAATCAAATGTAAGGATTTCATCTCTGCTATACCTCTATTTTTCCAGACCATTCAGTACATTTGTCTATATCATCCCTTCTTTCCCATTCTCTCTACTTTGGCATCAACTGCTGTCCAATATGGGCTCTTGGTGTCTGCAGGAGCTAAAGCCCCTCTCAGTGGAGAGAGCACACAATGAAATGAGGGGATTTGCAAGGCGCTCCATTGTTACATGTATTCATGCAGCATAATGGGACATTTCCGTCAGACTGGAAAGAGGAGCAGAAACTCAGCTCTGGGATCAGAGAGCCCTGGCTTCACGTGGAGCTGCTGAACATCGTCAACATTAACTCCCATAAAGAGAGTCTGAGGGCCAACACAGAGCGGGAAACACAGCTTAGAAGAAGAGGTGCCAAAAATAGCGTGACGAAAAGTGTGTAAATATTATTTTGTCTGGTTTCTCGTTGACGTTTCCTCAAATTATCACATTTTTCAAGAGGTTGAAAATATTGCAAAGCTTCCAAAATATGAGGATTTTTCGATTTCCTCTGTTTTAATAAATTACTGTAAACTAAACACATTTGGGTTTCTGACAGTTGGCCCGACAAAACAGCAATGCATGAGGTCCCCTGAAGCTCAGTAGGTATGTTATGGTCTTTTCCCTAGCCCTTGTTTTATATTTTTGAACTAAATTATGTATAGAAATTGTTCAAATAGTCCATGATAAATTGCAGCCCTAATGACACACCCCATGAGAGCTTTGTTCCCTGGTGTCAAATTCAACAACAATATCCAACATCTAAGTGCCTAGAGGGATCGAACCTTTGCTACTGATTAAATATGTATTGAAAGGAAAGCCTGTGAAAATGTACACTAACAGATGTCTTTTTATGTGTATTTGTATGGTACTGATTTATTTGAAATATATAAAGAGTATGTTTACATATAGGCTTAAACAGATGGGATTGCAGTAGTAGAATAGCCAGCTCTGCATTTTTAATGCTGAGGTGAAAGTCTATCACCCAAAACAAACACACCGTAGTTACAGCCGTCCATATGCTTAACGGGACTGTGAATAAAGCCAACGAAAGGGAGCAAACGTGTGCCGACATTTCAATCTAATCAATACAGTTCACAGATACACTCAGAGTTAGAGAGAGAGAGAAATAGAGAGAGGGGGGAGAGAGAAAAAGGGAGAGAGAGATGCCATGCTGCAGTGCTGTAGCATCCAAACTGTCCTGGACAGCACAAAGCCCTACCTGCTGCCTCTACTGCATCCCAGAGCCACACAAACCAATGTGCAGAGCATTACAAAGCTATTCTAGGTTTATTTTCACACCACAGAGACACACTGTAACTCTTAAAGTGATAATAAAAAAAGTAAACATCAGAATTTACACACAAATACGCATATATGTACTGCACAGACACAACAAACAAATACAGACTGATAAAGGAAGTGAAAGACATGCAAAATGACATATTAACAGCTGCATGGACTGTTGATTGATGGGACGGATGGGGTGATGTTGGATGATGGAGGACGCTGAGTATTGTACTCACAGCTCAGAATAGAGGATGTGCAGGTTGCCCAAATTGTCTGTGTAGTTGGCCGGGCTGAGCCAGGGCAGGACCAGCAGCAACAGAGCCTTCATGGTCAACGCTGGGCTCTTTTTCCTCACTTATTTCCCCCTCTTCCTTTCCTCTCTGCGCTGAAGCCCTCTCCTCTTCTAGTCCCCCCTCCTCCTCCACCTCCAATTCTCCGAACCTGGCCGTACTGACCCCCCTTCTTTGCCTGCCTTCCTTCTCCAGAGGCACCCCTCAGATCAGAAAGAATCCTTCACTTCCTACCTTTTCAGCCTCTTTCTTCCCCTCGGGTTCCCCCCTCTCTCTCTACCTCTGTGTCTGTGTGAGCCTGGCAGTTTCTTCCTCTGCCTCAGGCGGGCTGCCTGGTCATCTCAGCTGCAGAGGCAAACGGGCCAGTTGCCAGAGGTTGAAGACAGAGCGGAGGAGGAAGAAGCAGCAGAAGCAGGTGCAGAGCAGAAGTCCCGTTGTGGTACAGGAGGAAGAGGAGAAAGTGCAAGAAGAAGAGGAAGGAGACCCATGCAAAGGTGGCACATTTGGAATACAATTTGAGATGTGCAGCCCCTTAATCTGCTCTGGGCACTAGCGAGTTGTAAGAGGATTTGCGCTCGTTTGCGTGTGTGTGCATATCTGTCTCCATCGGTGTGTGTATGAGTGTGCGTGTGTGTGTGTATGTCAGAGAGAACGGCGCAGGCTGTGACTTATACTGCAGCAGAAACCACTGAGGGGGGAGATGGAGCAGACCAAACAAAGACACGAGGGGGGGAGGTACCTGGTGATGCTCTGATTGGCTGTGCCCTCCTCACGCGTGTTCACACACACACAATCTCAGACATACACACACGTACAACCTCTGCATTCACCTCCCCCTGCCTGCACATATGTTGGTTTATGTAGGGGGAGGACAGAGAGGAGGGGGGAGAATATGTTGCCTCCAAGCCCTCTCCCCTCCTCTCCAACGATGGACTGCTCCCTGTGCAGCAGATTGGTCTGATCGCTAAACAGAATCTGCCTCCATGTGTGAAAAAAAAAGAACATTACCAAAACACACCGGCAAATCAATAATCTCTGCAGTGATGGGGGCTTACTGTTTGGAGTGACATGAACGAAATAGAAAAAGAAAAGAAAATTTGGAACAAATCTTCAGAGAGCCATTGATCAAGAGCCTTTTCATTCATTGATTCAATCAGTCATTCAGTCTTTCAATTTGAGAATGTATGCAGTGCAATGAGAGAGGGAATGATAAAGGGTGTATTTTATAAACAAATAGAGAGGCTAACCCTTTCTATCATCACAACCTGATTGTGAACTGCAGGGATCTTGGGACGCACTTAGAGCTGGGAAGTGACGGGCAGACGTGTGTTTTGATGGACCGTGGTACATGTTGATGGCTGTGAACGGCATTCACTCAAAGGTGCTGAAAACAAAATCAAGGTACATTCAAAGGATTTTGAGAGGTGTATTTCTTTCCTCAAGCAACTCTTCCTGGTTTCTTCATATCTTCACTGTAATCTCTTTTGTTTTCTTTAGTAAACAAAGGAGGGAGGGATTCAAGAGAACTTTGAATGTGCAATACTGCAGAGTATCTATTTTCATCTCATCCTGTCAAGCCCCACAATCAATCCGATTCCACTGATGTTTATCAAGCCACTTTAAATCATGGCAAGATTATTTAAAAACTCACATTTTACTCAGCATCCTACTACTTATCCTGATTTTTATCTTCACTTTTTTTCCGTTCCCATCCTCTGCTCCTTTACTTTATCTTGGTTTCCCTGTTGGTACCACTGTTATCCGATTTGTATAGCACTCAGCTGTCTGCTACCCTCGAGAAAGACACTTAACTGGTGTAAATACCCTGTCTGAATGAATATTTCATGGATGGAGGTAGAGTGGTTACAGGCTGGATTTGTTTGTGTGTGTGTCGGTGTGTGAGTGCGTGTCTGTTTGCGTGTTGTAATGTATGCATGCGTGAGGCATGAGTTATCCTGCGGTATTTGAACAGTGCGCACAGCAAGAAGACCGCAGGGCATGCAGGAAATGGAAATGTAATTGGATTGTGACAGGATGCAGTTTGTGAACAGAATCCAGTCTGCCCCCAAAGGAGCCATTTTCATACACTTGCACATTGACTTACACTCACAAAAACACCAACATAACAAACACACAAACTCTCTCTCCATAATTCCTTTTCATAATAAACTCACACCAGCCAATACTAATCTATAGTCAAAATAGGTATTTTCAAAAGACAGTATATTTGTGGGCTTGTCACTGAGAAGACTTTGTTTTAATTACAAACCAGCAGTAAGATCATTGACAGGAACAATTAACTTTCCTGTTGTGTTCAATACACTCTTTAGGCCACACATTAGCACAACTATCCCTTTAACCTGTTAAGCCCGAGGCCCCCGCAACATCTTGCAAGAAACAGCGTCTGAGGGCTCCTTAACATTTAACAAACTATGAATGTGTCATACCCACTTAACGGGAACAAACTCAGCTAACTGACGATATGAACAATTTTTACCGAAACAAAACACAACTCTAACGCCAAGCGTCTGAATTGGCACTAAGCGAAAGAGTGCTAACGCACTTAGCACATAACTCACGGTAGAAATATTGTATACTTCATCGGATATGCACAATATCATTTGAAAGCTGAGATTCCACATATTCCAATGGTATAAGTATCATCACTGTGCGACCAAAACTCAGGGCAGCGAAGGCAAGCAAAGACAACACAAAACTTCACTTTACGTGGCCAAAACGGCAAATACGTCTTACCTTTGCTGTTTTCTGATCAAAAGTTGTGTTCAATGGCATTAAAACGCATATAAATGCTGCTGAAGGTTAATCCAATGCCTCTGTGTCACTTTGAAATGATTACTGATAATCCATCATAACATTTATTTCAATAAGAGTAGTTTTCATATAGAGTGTGTGAGAGCTACGAGAGTGTATGAGAGCTTCCGGTTTTGGGCATTCTGGCTGCGCATCACTCTTATTCACCAATGGTAATGTTTAGATGGATTTAGGAACTTCCCCTCGATTCTATTGGCTCCAATGCTACGTTCACACCGGACGCGATGTGAATATTCGCTTCACTCAAATCACTCAAGTTTCACCGCGGCTTGCAGTTTGTTTTATCGCGTCACTCAAAACAGACATACCGTTGACTCGCCGCGCCGCACCGTTGACGGACAGTTGACGGACAGTTGACGGACAGTTGACGGACAGTTGAGGTTGTTTACACTTCCATGGAAGATCGTTTTGGTTATTTCTGTCGTTGACTATGGAGGATATAACAACTATTGCTGCTTTGTACCTTCTGTGGAAGTCCTACAAACGTAGCAACAAACGCCGCTCTGTCTGGGTTCACAATGTAATCAAGCGTCACACACAGTTTGGTGAATAATGTTTAATCAAGGAACTGCGCCTGGATGACTGCCATTTCCAGCGGTATTTTAGAATGACCTGTGTCCAGTTTGATGATCTTCTAGCTCGGGTTGGTGTCAGGATTTCCCGGATGGACACAAACTACAGGCGTTCCCTCTCAGCTGCGGAGCGCCTGTCAATATGTCTCCGGTAAGTAAGGATCAACAGCAGGACGTCAGAGGGACTTAGAGGGAATCCCAACGCTGATTGGCTTCGGCGAGAACGCGTCATGTGAATTTGAAGCCCAAGTTGAAAAATTGAACTCTCGCATTTGACCCCCTTCAATCCCCTCAAACGCATGATTCGCGCCGCGTCCACCACTTCATTCGCGCCGTCGGAGCGAATTCGCGTCTGATCGCGTCTCTGCATTGACTTTACATGTAATCGCGCCGCCCCCAAACATCGCATCGCGTCCGGTCTGAACGCAGCATAATGCTACGTTCACACCGGACGCGATGCGAATATTCGCTTCGCTCTAATCGCTTCGCTCTAATCGCTCCACTCTAATCGCTCTAAACGCTCGAGTTTCACCGCAGCTGCCGGCTGTGTTTACTCGCATCATTCAAACAAGACGCGCTGGCTAGGGAGCTACAACTACTACAAAATGAACATATTTTACAGTGATTAAATTGTAATACACATTTCTAAATAATGCCGAAGTAACAACATACTGATACCGGTTAGTAAAAACCATGAATTAATGCTTGACAAGTCTGCAGACAAGACGGCAGGCGAAAAACCTTTTAAAATGCTTGTTTTCTGAATGGAGATTGGGTCGACCAGGCTAAGCTAACGTTGTATATGCTCACTCCACACTCATAACAACGGCCTACAGACATAAATAAACCAGCGACTGTATTCACCATGACACAGACAGTATGTGGTTTGTACTTGTTTAACTTCTGTACAGTTTCTGAACAGATATGAGGAGCTGTGATCTCTGTGTGCTAACTGCTAACAGCTAATGGCTGATGTTTTCTGGTTGAACGTCAGTGACGGCAGGCTGAGATTCTCACCACTGATTGGCTTCCGCGAGAACGCGTCACGTGAATTTGACGCTCGAGTTGAAAAAATGTAACTCTCGCGTTTGACGCGGCCCCCTTCAATCGCGTGATTCGCGCCGCGTCCACCGCTTCATGCGCCCCGTCGGAGCGAATTTGCGTCTGATCGCTTCTCTGCATTGACTTAACATGTAATCGCACCGCCCCCAAACGTTGCATCGCGTCCGGTCTGAACGTAGCATAACGGTTCAAAAGAGGCGTCAATCACCAAAATCGACCAATGGGTCCCATAGATATGGCAAATACAACCAAATGACCCCAGAAGTGTTTTTTTTTTGCTAAACCTCTCTAAAAAGGTCAAATTTCACGTGTTTTGCATCAATCTTGATACAGGGTACTTATTATATGTTATCATTTGGATCCCTAAAGCTTATAGTCTACTATCCCATCATTCAAGTGTGAGTTTTATTTGGACGGAAACTATAATTACATTTTTTTTACAATGTTCAATCTGAATTTACTTTAAAATAAAAACATCTATATTGATTCTGACTCTTCTACATCCAACCCACAGGTTTATCATTGCTTTGAGAAAAAAGATTATTAATTTACCCCTTTTAGAAGTGAAGATAAAATATAGTCATTTGTTCTGGGCATGTCATTTTCGAGCCTGAGACTTGAAAAACAGGCTCAGGGCTAAACAGTTTAAGAATTGTGCAGAATGAAAAGTTTCTAAGATGTTTCAGAGAAAGGGAGAAGTATAACTTGGTCTAACAATAAAAGTAATAATTTAGTCTAATATTTTACATCCAAAGGGAAAAGTCAAGGATATAACGCTTCAAGCTTTTTTTGTAGTTGCCACTCTGACTTGCATTTTTTTTGTTATTTAATTTAAATTAAGTTTTAAGTAGGAGGTAGTCATATCAAAGCCAACATGACAATTATATGATAAGCAAAACTGAAAATAGACCCCCAAAGCTACATCGAAATCCTATATACAAATGTAAAATATAATTTGATAAAACAAAACCAACAAGAGCAACTTCTTTTCAGATACATTATAGCAAACAAAAAAATTGTGACTATACATTATTGATAAGTATCCTTTCTGTTGACATTAAGGTCAAAATTACAACATTGAAAAAGGACAGAATACAACTTGACGAAACTCTATAATCCCCGAAGGCCAACAAGTGCCTCGGTCTCAGCTGTGTGCATCACTTTTAAGTGTCCCCTGGAAACA